GACAGGCACTGTGTTTAGAATGGGCAGCTATAGAAGACCTTTGGTGTCATGTATCTAGAACATGACAAAATTATGGTAAACTAAGTGTTGATCAGACTATCTGTATTCCTTTCAGAAAATGTTAAAATAGAATTCTCTGTGGAAAGCAGAAAACAGATTCTTTAATTTTTGGCTGATTGCTGTCTCTTAATGTTAAAGATATATATATATATATATTAGCAAGTAAGACTGTCATCAAATGATAGATGGCACATAAAATATCAGGCACATTTTTCACAAGTTAACTCCTTTATTTTAGTTTCCACAGTGGTATCCCAACAGCACCTAGTTGTTTCATGTAGCAATACACTTTTCAATCTAGTTGACTGCTATGTGATATCACCACGGCCATCTTGACGTTGTCTTGAAGCAAATACCAAAATATATATTTTTTTGTAATATTTCAAATCGACCCATGAAAACAATGTTATCTCATCTAGATTTTACTTGGGGAATTCCTAAGAAATATTTATTTATATTTCTTTGTATTTGCTTGTCTTATTCTGAAGAAGACAATCTTTGTGGTTTAAAATACTGGTTTGTCTTTTAATTGTTACTCCAACTTCTTGGTTGTGCTAGGCTGCCACCACAAATTTGTCTACATGCATATATATAGTGTATATATATTTACATGGGTGTGTGTGTGTTAGAGGTTCGTTATAGTAATTCGTTTTTTTGTTTCTTTTACTGATTGAAATCTAATGTTAAATCATTCTATCATAATTTTCTCATGCCAGTTTAACCCCTTAATCTTATGTTTTCTGAAAACAGTTGAGGGCAGGGTAGGTGAAATTTTTTTTTCAGTTTTTTTTTTTTAAACACTGTTGTGTCTGTATTTACTGTGGTGACATTTTATGAAAAGCCATAAAAAAACACCCCAACAAAAAATAAGCTAACATTAGCTTTGCAGGGCTTGAGAAGGTCCACCTGACACCTTGAAATTGTGAATGTTGGGCACCGAATCTCCCTGAAAGTAGTTGAACTGGAAATTCAATACAGA